TCACAAATAACACCACACACCCCCAGCACACAAACACGCACTCACTTGCTGTTCCTGTGGTTTCTCAGTGCGAGCACCGGCAGCATGTGTCGCACAATGCGCTTGAGATAGTTCATCTCGTCCGTACGACTCCGCACGGCGCAGTGCAGCTCCTTGCCGTAGTAATCGAGGGCGGTCAGTTCCGGATCGACCCTGTCGAGCCCCCTCGTGTCCTCGCGCACCTGTATATAGAGGTCGAGGTGTCGTAGCGCCGCCGGGAAGAACTTGTGCGTGATCACGCCGGCAAGGTCGACCTACAAACAACGGAACATCTATGAGTATTACGGGAGTAGCAGACGAGTGTGTCGTCGAGATATGAACAACGGAACATCTCTGAGTATTACGTAAGTAGCAGACAAATGTGTGGTCGAGATACGAACAACAGAACATCTCTGAGTATTACGTGAGTAGCAGACGAATGTGTGGTCGAGATACGAACAACAGAACATCTCTGAGTATTACGTGAGTAGCAGAGGACTGCATCAATCGAGATACGGTTTTGCAAAGGTCAGACTTGCATGTGTAGAAGGTACGGTGGTTTAGCAATCGAACAACCAATGTGGCCAAGCTTACCAGGCCACCCTTAAAAAAATTTTTGTTTCCCCTTTACCTACTCGCCTCTCAGGGTACCGAGTAGGTAGGTAGGTGAAAATTCTTTTTTATTTTGTTTTGACAAGATGTGTGTATCTATATTGTATATTCTGTTTTGTGTATATGTTTTTGCAGAACAAATTAGAATTTTTTTTTTTGCGAAACAAAATAATTTTTGTTTTGTTTTAATCGGCCAATAAAATGTGTCGGGTAGCGGCGTTTTGGTGAGTCGGTCGGTAAAGGCAAAACAAGCAATATTTTATCTTTGGCCCCACCACCAGTTTCATACAAGAAATAATCAGTCTGCCAACAACCAACATGATCAACAGAACTCACACAGCATATAAGTAACAGAAGCCAGGAGTAGAAATTAACTTTTGAACAAGGGAGTCCAACAGACGCCCTACCCTCAAAAAGAGGGCGTCCACAGCAAAATGAGGGAGTCCGCAGTCTGAGTTTCAAAATTAAAGATATTAACAATAACGCATGTGCTTCTTTTTAAGATTCATGCAGTTGCACGTCTGCCCAATTTTCTTTGGACATTAGCTGAACAAATACAGTAATTCCGCGAGGCCGTGCTCCGGAACAAACTAGTTAGTATGGCAGAATTTTCAGGGAGTCACACGGACTCCTGCACATGTCAAATCAAGGAGTCTGACAGTAAATCAGGGAGTATTTGACTCCGGACTCCCGTTAATTTCGCACCCTGCACACAGCATATAGGTAACAAAAGCCGTTAAGAGAGTTGGAAACAATAACAATACATTGATTACAATAACAGCGATGTACAGTACCTTCGATGCTCTTCTGATAAGAATTGCTGCTAAAAATCGGAGGTTTAACTTGACTTCGTCAACGAATGCCTCATCGTCACTAACATCACTGCAAAACAAAAATTGGGAAAAGTGAGTTGACAAATGCCATATATCCCCGTCTAAAAGTATGCTATGTCTAAAAGTTAAAACACAAGCTAAAAATATGTGATTCAAAAATGTTAATTTTTTCACATACCTTGCGGAAAAATTGATGTTAGTTTTTCAGAGATAGCAACCAATATTTTGGCGATTCTAACGCAAAGGACAATCTGGTATCATGAGGTGTTTTATGGTGATCATGAACTAAAATTGTCAAGATTTCCCAATGAATATACTGGCTTTGATCAAGTACTTCCCAGTTTAAATAAATGAATCATGAACAAGATGGCAGCACGTTCTAAGAAATACTCATAAAAGCATAATTTATACAAATCAATGAAATCTTGCAGAAAACATTTTATCGTGACTTTTCGTCTGCACGGTAAAATTGGCACGATTACCCTGACCTCTCTAGCTAACCCAACTGTAAACACACCTCATCAGTTTTCCTTAACTCTGACAGGGAAATGCCAAGCAAATCATTGCTTGCAGACCCTTAAAACAGCAGTGGTAATACAGAGAGAACTCCAGTACATCAGTCTTGGGGCGAGTTTGTTTGGGACGAATCCGTCTGATCGAGATCATGTGATCCTGATCCGACCAAACAAACGCAAACTCACTTTCACCGGTTCACGTTTCGCTGTGACCTATCACGGGATGGTTAATAACAAACAAGCTGTGATTGGCTGAGGCGCGGGCCGCCATATTGAATCCCGTTCGAATCCAACTCGCCAGCAGGGTCGGATTCGGTGGATCGAGATCAAGTGATCCGACCAAACAAACAGTCAGATCAACGAATCCATTGGATCGAGATCCGTAGATCCGACCAATCAAATGCGCCCTTGGACAGCACGTGACATGTACGTATGTTGAATACATATTAATGAGCAATAATATGTAATTTCAAGTTGCATACCTGTACCAAGGATGTACATATTCCTTGAGCAAGACATCTAGGAACTGCTCCAAGGAACTGTCTATACTTTTAGGTATTACAACATTGGTCCACGGTCGCGTCGCTTCTATGCTTAGCTCAGACCTGCACATGACAGAAATGCATAATTATATAACTGCTCGACTATAGCACTTATCAATACAATTCACCCAACATACATCATGGATGTTTACATGCTTGTAAGAATTCTTAAACAGGGTGCAAAATTAACGCGAGTCCGCAGTCAAATACTCCCTGATTTACTGTCGGACTCCCTGATTCGACTGTCTGACATGACTCCCTGAAAATTCTGCTATACTAACTAGTTTGTTCCAGAGCACGGCCTCACGGGATTGCCATATTTTTTCAGCAAAGGTCGAAAAAAATTTGACAGACGTGCAACCACATTAATCTTCAAAATAAGCACACGCGTTATTGTTAATATCTTTAATTTTGAACTTCAGACTACGGACTCCCTTATTTTGCTGCGGACTCCCTCTTTTTGAGGGCAGAGAGAGTCCGTTGGACTTCCTTGTTCAAAAGTTAACTTCTACCCCTGCTTAAATCATGTAGTTCGTTTTACGTGAATAGCATAATTAGGTTCACCTGACATTACATACAGTATCAGTCTGTTAGCAACATCAAAATCAAATGCTGGTTCCACCTGCCAAGCCTCCCATCACCTCATGAATGTTTAATGACTAATAAAAGCACAAGCTTTAATGCTGGTTAGAAACAAAGCCCCAGCTGCACAGCAGTTTATTATATTTTTTGACAGTTTTTTTACATTTATTAATGGTGCCATCATGTTAGTGTGCAAGAAACCTACAAAATGCATCAGCAATATTACTATCGGGAATGAATCAAAACAAATGCTACACTTACCGATGGCGAATGCAGTAGTTTTTACCACAAACTGAGCAAATTCTAGTTAGGTTGTCCTGCTCACTTTCACTGAGCTGGAAGTAGCAACACCACTTTGTTAAGAAAGGCAGGTATCACGCTTCACTGTGAATTGTAAACTGTGACGTATTTCACAGAAAAAATTGTATTGAATATATTCCAGTACAAACAAAATTTACAATCATTCTTTGGACAGAAAAACTTACAAGACAAAATGCAAAATTTTTAGAGGAATCTGGAATTTGGAATTGCTCAAAACTAGTGATTACTATTGTTATGACAAGAAGACCATTATCTCAGTATTCACCTTAAATGTAAAATTAGTGGCAATAATAATGAAATATTGTCCTTACAAGTATTCCGCAATAAATGACCATATCTTTGCCTCTATTGTGTATCTCAAACAATTTGTCAGTTTCTTATCAAATATTGAAAGCCAAATCACATAGATCTGTGAACCATAAAACTGCATTATATATATATATATATATATTATATATATATATATATATCCAAAGAGCTATATACCTAGAGTGTACAACGGAATAATGACGGAAAACGAAAAAAAGTGCATTTCACGACCAACATTATTCTACTTGACTCTGCGAGAGTTCTATAATAAATTTCATGGTATTCATTAACAAATTCTTTTGCTCTCGTAAAACAAGATCCAACCGCTTGTCAATACATACTCCTAGGCGGAGATTATCTGGCTCCTAAAACCCCCCTAGCCCCAAGTCGCCAAACGTGGCCGCCTCGAATCACAACTTCGTCCGCATCCTTCACGCGCGCTAAGCGTTGCGTTCGTGAGAGTTCGGTTTTTTCCCGGCCATATATTTATGAGATGATTTTCGGGTGCGTGCAGGGTGGAGCGGTGACTTTCGGGGGCATCGCTATGCCCTTATCTCCATTATACTTCCTAAGCAACGGAATCTAATGCTCCGTCATGATGGAGGCCGGGCAAATGTTTTTTAATATAAGTCCTCTAGCAACCCTAACGGCAGTCTAGTAATTGATACCAAATTTGGGCATGTGACATCATTACAGCGCTCGCAACGGTGAACGAGAAACCGATTAAGCTGAAAATGCTTAGACGCTGAAGGATGCGGACAGAAATGGATTCGACGGCGGCGTCTTGCATTGTGGAGGGGAGGTTTACTGAGCCGAATAATCTCCAAGCCTAGGAGTAGTCGTAATTGGACAACGTGGTCCTTGTTTTAGAGAGGCAAGAGATATTCCTGCTTAAGCAGAATACCATGAAATTATTATAGACTCGCAGGCAAAGTAGAATAATGTTGTCGTGAAATAGCACTATTTTCCCGTTTTTCCGTTGTACACTCAGGTATTATTAGCTCTTGATATAATATAAATATATATGTATATATATATATATAAGTATAATATATAACATAATATAATATAATATAATAATATAACATAATATAATATAATTATAATATAATATAATATAATATAATATAATATAATATAATATAATATAATATTAATATTAATATAATAAATAATAATATAATATATATATATATATAATATAAATATAATATAATTATATCATGTATTATTATATTATATTAATATATTATAATATAATATAATAATATATATAAAAAAACATTTTACCTTTTTTGATTTTCGTTCACAGAAAAACAGGAGATTCGGTAATAACAGACTGCCAGCTAGATGAACAAAAAACAGAAAGAAACAATCAGTGTTGGTTACAACTCGCGCCAAATCGTTTAACTCAGGCATTGTTTACCCATCACATTAACAATTGGCCCCATCCCATGGTAACAACTTCTGTGCGCTTGTAAAATGCAATTTAATAGAAACGTTTGTTTTCCTTTAATGTTTAGAGGTAACAACAAGAATAACTAACATTATTACAATGCTTGAATAAGCTTTTTGATATTGTAATCGAACTATGCAATTTTGGGTACGGGCAAAAGTAAGATGCATATAACTAACTTATCTTGGTTTAAAATGACGCATATGCGATGGACGCTATGTATAGTAGGATCAAGTACATTATATTTCAAATGCTCACCTATATTTGTTGCTACAGGCAAATGCTCCTAATAGAAATGAACCACCAAAAAACAACACAAATGGCCACAATCTGCAAAATTGTAACAAAGTATGTGATAACACACAAGGAAGATATATAACTAATGCTCTAGATGAATGGTAATGATTTATTTACATAGAACATGAGCAATTCACAATCACAAATGCATTTTGCATAAGGCATTCCATCTTCGTTATAGTCCCTTGGACTTTGAACATTAATATTTATGATGTTACGAGGCGGTTAAGGCAAACAGCCTTATAACTGATAAAGGCCATTCCTATTCTTGCAATCGTGTATTCAATATATCATTCAATCAACACACAACATGTTTTCTATTCATATTTAGGTCAGAAATGCATATATTGCAGTTGTATCATGGTACTGGCATATTGTAATTTATCCAGGGATGGTGTAACTTGTAAGTACGCCACATTACTACTAGAACCCAACACGTTTAACTCAAACCCAGTCCACCCAAAAACAGACACTCGAAGACGTTCAAAATATCTAGTACATGTCCTACCAAGTACCAACGGCAATATCTTCAAAGCTGTTTTATGTCTATGCCCCGATCTGTCATTGCTTGGAACTCTCTACCGTAATCTATGATCACTAGTGCATCACCTGAACGGCCTAAATCTGTCTTGCCTTCACTCCGCGACAAACAACATCAATATGGACACACACATCCTGAAGCACTTTTGCTCAGTAGCTACTACTACTACTGCTGAGAGGGTCTATGTCCCCTGGGGTACTGCCGGAACGTACCCTGGTACTATCTAATATGCCGGACCGTACCTCGCCTACTCCACTGACGAGTCTAGGGAGTCGCGTACGCCTACTCCCTAACCCTAACCCTAATCCTAACCCTAACCATATCAAATACTGAAATAGTGACCAGGGTACGTTCCGGTATACCGGACCGTACCCAGGGTACGTTCCGACCGTACCCTGGGGGACATAGACCCTATGAGCACTACCAGTACCACTAACTGGCACTAGTACTAGTAGTAGTACGAGAGACGCTCCAGACGGACACACGTCACACAGCACTCCGCAAATGAATGAATGTACTAAATTGTCTACAAACGAATTTACACTAAAAACGGACCATAAAGGAACAGTCATATTACTATTAGTAAAATTCATGAGGTAACTACGCTATTAGTACTCAGTAACAATGACAATGTTACTAATGGGCGTAATGGTGGGTACCGCCTACATGATAACGTTCAGGAATCACCGAATGAATTGAATACTAGTGCAACACGAGAATAGCCAAGTTCCCATGCGCATAACGCGGGAAGCGATTAAACAGGAATTGTTATTCAACTTACCGATACATTATATATGGAAAAAGGACTAGACTGGCGGCAATTAAAGGAATTAAACGTTTGAACCTCGTATCACATAAAGGTAGGTTTTTTAATCCAACAGTGTGCTGATTTTCAAACTCCCACCTCCGCCATACTTGTTTATATCGTCAGAGCAGCGCCCCCATTGGCAGAATATTGTCCCAAAAAATAGAATAATATACTGGGTAGTGTATTCTATTTATTCATTGGTAATTTGGTACATTGGTAAAAACTAAAAAAAAGTATATATCAAAATGAGCTTGCAAGCTCCTCACCGTGAATACCTATATCTATAGTCCGAATATGGTAGCTATTTCAAGTTTGTGTGAGCAGTTTTACTTTAGATACCGCGCGAGCGTCGCACGCCGGCGTCTCTCTCTCTCTCTCTCTCTCTCCTCTCTCTCTCTGCTCTCTCTCTCTCTCTCCTCTCTCTCTCTTTCTCTCTCTTTCTCTCTCTTCTCTCTCTCTCGATCTCCGTCTGCGCGCGCGCGCGCGTGTGTGTTTGTGTGTGCGCGCATGTGTGTCACAGTGTGTGTGTGTGTGTGTGTGTGTCGTTGTGTGTTGCGCAGCGCCACGCGTACGTGTGGATATGCGTACGTACGTGTGCGTGTATGTGCGCACGCGTCTGTGTGTGAAGTTTAACGAAATTGAGAAGGCTGGATACATTGCAGTAAAAAATTCTCTCCTTTCTGGAGCTTCCACTACACATCACATCTTATCCACCATCGTTCCCCCCCCGTAGTTCTCCGATCCATTTCATGCAGGGGCGTAAATCCATACCGAGGAGTGGGGGAGATAATCCCACGATAGCAGGGGGGCGAAATTAACCTTGGTGCCGCAAGCTGGCCCGCTTGCCGTAGGCATGCCAGTGCTAGGGGGTCTGGGCATGCCCCCCCCCAAAAAATGAAAGTATTTAAGCGCATGCATTTTCCTGCAATCTGAGGCTACTGTGGGCCATCCATATTCTCATGTCTGATGACACTATCTCAAACCCTAAACACTCAACACTACAAGTTAGGATTCAAAACACTTTTCATGACTTTTCAGAGACGTACACAGTTATAGCTAGGTTACTATATAGTAATAAATACATGTATAAAAACACAGGTAAAAGCAATTGCAATTTCTCACAATTGCGAACGTGTTTTTTGTAATGTTTAACCTACTTTTTGTTGGCTATTCTTTTTTTTCTTTTTTCTTTTTTAATCTCAGGGAGATATTTGTAGCAGGCCATCCCCCCTCCTTCAAGAGCGGGGGGATGCATCCCTCTCCCCCCGGGATTTACGCCCGCTGATTTCATGCAATCTTCGGCCTCGACAGTAACCACCATTGCCTCTCCATCTCCCCACTGGCTAACGTGTGTGTCAATGACATGCAGCATACGGAGATGGGTTGCTGGACACTGGTAATTTAAAATGAAATCCCTCAAACTACGTCCGGTCCCCATTCGACTGCGCGACTGTTTTCCATGCCATAAACTGTGGTGTCCGTGAGTAAATTCGCGATAGCTTTTTAAAAACGCCGGACAACATATGACAAAACTCTCATGTAACACAGCTAAAAGTACATGGCTATCTAGCTTTAATAGTACTAATGCCACTTGGTAGAAAATAGTCGAAATAATCATTTTCAGCTCCTAAAAGTATGTCATCCGACTGAAAGATTTGTATTCTCTTCTTTTATACGCAAAATCAACTTGGCCAATCACGGGCGGATACACATTTTTTCCTTACCGCCCACTAATCGGTAGCCAAGTATCGTCGCATTTTTGCTGTCATTTGTTATGGTTTTTACTGTTGTACCGTGACAATATGTCATGTTTGATTAATCGTTCACTCACTGTTATCTTGAGCGAGTAGAGGCAGTAATATTAGAAAAGATTCTATTTGTGCACTGATATAAGCAAAGATAGTCGGTCTCGGACTTCGTCCCTTTCCTAGATTTCTACCCCTGTCTCTAGACTCTACTCTCTAGGACATTGGACGTAGGGGCCTACCTATTTCAGTATTTGATTGGTAGGCCCCGTATGCAGAGTGAGAGTGCTATGACTATTGAGGACAATATAAGTTATATATAACCCGTCTAGGCGAACTCTATCCTGGCAAAATGGCTGGACATAGTCATTATTGTGCTGCTATTCCTTGCACAAATTCTAGAAATAACAATAAGGCTGTTGCTGTCCTTGCGACGGTACGCGTCGCCGATTATTTTTCTCTTAAAGTCACGGTACTCGACGGTACTGACGCCTATTGGTTGAGCTTGTTTTCCTTGCGATATACATAGCAACATCCAAAATTTTAATTTCAATATGTGGCCAGCAGCGCAACGGGTAGTGCGCTTGCCCCAAGTATGAATGGTCGCGGGATGCGAATCCCATCCGTTTCGTAATATTTTCGCTGTTTTCTGTATTTTCTATCTTTATCTGTTTAACATTTTTTTTTCAATTAACGCAAATATTAACATTAATTTATTTACAACATTTTAATAACAACAATTAATATTTTACAGACAATTAAAAATTAAATTTTATTAATTTAATAGAGGTTAGGGTTAGGGTTAGGTTAGGGTTAGGGTTAGGGTTAGGGTTAGGGTAGGGTTAGGGTTGAGGTATCGTATATAATCGTATAAAAATCGTATATATAATATCGTACCAAAAGCAACGGTAGTTATTATTCGCCGATAGATGGCGCTGGCATCACTACCCGTGAGTTGAAGAGAAAAAAAATTCGGCGACGGTACCGTCGCAGAGCAACAGGCCTAACAATAAAGACCTCTGTTTTTTCAAACTTCCCAAAAAAAAGACATCGAAAGGTAGGGTATTACTATTGCCTCATCAGGGTCTATGTCCCCGCAGGGTACTGCCGGAACGTACCCTGGGTACGGTCCGGTATACGGAACGTACCCTGGTCACTATTGATATGGTTTAGGTTAAGGATTAGGGTTAGGGTTAGGGTTAGATTAGGGTTAGGGTTCGGGTTCGGGTTAGGGGTAGGCGTAGGCGACTCCCTAGAACTCGTTAGTTGAGTAGCGCGAGGTACCGGTCCGGCATATTAGATAGTAACCTAGGGTTACGTTCCGGTATACTCGGACCGTACC